TCTCCGCCCCTGTTCCACGGAATCGACTGGCACACGGGGCGAGAGGAGAGGCTGGTCGGGTAGGTACGGAGTGAAACGCAAAAGCGTACACCCCCGCAGTCGAGAAACTGCCGAGCCTCTGAATAAATGATGAGGATATATTTACGGCGAGCGGTTTTAAATAAATTACAACTGCGGAGACGGCGAAGGAGTATCTTCGTACCGTTTCGCCTCTCAACCCTCCCCAGGTCCTAGCGGACCGCCCGCGCTCCCTGTGTTCTTCACCGTGCTCCACCATCTTGACTCGAGTCACCCGCCGCCAAGTATATTCCGTGTGTCTACCTTTTCGACATTGTTCTTACCTTCCCCCGAGTCGATTCCAGTGGAGCACCGTCTGGGATTATAAAGAGCGCACCGCCCCGCATACTGGCTCCGCGGAGGAAATCGGCGGATCGCGACGTCTTACTGTTTTTAGCGGGTGTGTGCAGGGGCTGGGCGAGATTTGAAGGGATCGATGTATTATAAAAATAGGTGGATGAAAGCTTGGGCTTTGTTTTGGTTGAAGCTAGTCGAGGGTGGATGGTTTGGTTGATTATTTATATATGTTCCGCTATTTATGCGGTACGTTTTTTATGCGGTGAATTGTGATACTATTTATGTGTATTATTAGGTCGTTCTGTAAGTTTGTACCGTTTAGTTTTCTAATTCTTCTTTGTTTATATATATGTATAATTGTGACGTCGTCTTCGATCGTTCTAATTTATGATTTAGTACACGGTATAATATTGTGTTGCACATCGTCGAATTCATCATAAAACCTACTATTACATTGTAGAAAAAAAATGGTTCCATTTAAAAACATTAACTTGACCTTGATACCTCCCCCATCCATCTAGCAGTGCAAATAACATTAATAGCATACAATGTGTCCCTTCAATCAAACAACTTTTTTTTCTAACTTCAATACTTTACAAGGTATTCCAATGTACACATTTAAATGGGGTACCCTGTATATATACAGATAATAATATTTTGTTAAATATAAAATTCTTCACGATCTATCGCTCTCGAACACATTTTACTGACTAAACTGAACCGTTACGGTTTAATCATTCAAGTCCTCATATCGTTCTATGATTACAAAACGTAACGCGAAAAGTATAAACTCATCGCGGCACGAATTTATGAGACAACCTGATATTTATCCCTTTAGGTCTTAAATAATCACTTTTAGAAAAAATACATTTACTTTTTCAATGTACATTAGTTAACTTATTATTTTTGTCAGAAATGAATATTTTTATAGAATATTATATTCTAACTGTCAAAGAAATAAGTGGCGATTACTATGTCGATTTTATACTGGCCCATTGGTTCGCATTTTATTAACACCGAAATATGTGGTTTCAAGAGCATGCCACTGGGAACTAATGGGTTGCACGCTATTTAAATTTAGTGATAGTGAATAAAATTTACTTTTGTTTTCTGTCATTATTATTATTTTTTTGTTAAACTGTCTGAAATGAATGTGTATTTCTAAAACTTGACTGCTTTTCTTTCCAATGCGATTTTCATTCGCATAAAGTGAATCCACGTGGAACGCATACACCGTGTAACTGAAGGGATAGGTGTAGATGGGATGGGATTGATGAAATGTATGTGTTTTAGTTTGTGGGAATTATTTGAGGATAATCTATGTTCATTTTGTAACTATAAGAGTGTAATTCTATTGCATGGAATAGAAAAGAATAACTATTTCTTAGTTTAACTCTTGTATCAGCGACAGAGCACCCCGTTCTTCACTTGTAAGTTATATAACAAGAATAAATTCTTTATTTCAATTCTTCACCTTGCAATTTGTTTCATAATTGCACTTATTGAACTTGATTTATTCATTATATTTTATTAAAACATCGAAGTATTCTATTTCCAGTACCTACGTTTACTGCGATAATCAAACACTGCTAACAGAAGCATGTTATTTCGACTGAGTAAATAAACAATATTCAACTTTATTAAGTCTTACGACCTGTATCATTCAACGTCGTAAACCAAAGGGGTAATCAATTTCTCTCCCACTTCTTCCTCTTACGTTCGAAATTATATGGAACCTACCAACCTAATAACATCTACCATAAGAAAAAACATTCCTCACCAAAATACAATCAACTCAATCAAACAAAAAATCACAATCTATGTCCCAATCAACAAAACAATAAACCCCCTCATACAAGATTATCATATCAAACAATTAACACTGCTATAATGGTCGACGACCAAATCTTCGAAATTACTTCAAAACAATTACAATTCGTCAAATAACCCATGTCGAATGACACCCTTCAATACTATAAATAACTAGACAACAATGCGCAAGTATTGCGATACCAAATAATAAGCAACCACTCCTCTCCATCTCTACTACAAAAGAACAAACAGCACATAATACTCAAAAGTCCTCCACAGCGGTCACCGCGTTAACCTCTAAACTCGGCCCCCAAGGAACCAGTGTCCCAGCATTATCCAACCAGTACATCCCACCCCTCGCAACGAACGTATCCATTCCTCTAGCCCCGGTCGTAAACTCGAACGGTCATCCTTAAATCCGCAACTCCCGCTCGATCCTCGCGGTGCGACCCCGCTGCTCGCTGGCGGAGCGAGAGGGGCCCGATAGCGATTTAACGAGGCGACGATTATCGCGATTATACGAGTGGCAACGACTGCCGCCGGTACACGAACTGGAACGCCGCAGGAGGGTGGTGGTTGGGGCAGGGGGTGGCGTAGAGGAAGAGACTGTGAGGGGGGCCAGAGACGGTGAAAGAGGGTCGGGAACCGGAGGAAGCTACGAGGAGTGGTTTAATGGCGCGTATCAAGCATCCGGCCGACGTGTTCAGCGGTGCTTGCACCCGTGGAATCGCGAGTGACTTTAGATGGCCGTCAACGGTGCGCTGGTTGCGAGAGGACCACCGGGGGCCGGGGCGGAGGAGGGCGACGGGAAGGGGGAAGGAAGATATTTCCTAAAGACGTAAATACAAACGAAGCTAAAAGCTCACCTCTCGGCGGGTGGGCCGAGGCCCCCCACGGTGCTAGGTGGCGGCGGTGGCGCCCTTATGGGGGTTGGCGGTGGCGTCGAGACGCCACCCAGGGACGGCTGACTTTGCTGGGGCCGCGGACTGACCGAGGCGGAAGTCGTGCTGGGGCTCCTCGATCCCCCGGCTCCATCTGGAACGGCGTCCTCCGCGTCGGGGGCGTTGCTGTTCGTTGTACCTTTTTTGGGGCAAGAAGAGGATGCTTGACGTCAATAAAAAGTCTCCGTGGGTAGTTCTGTTCGGTATGTATATTCGGTTTGTTATTTTGTCGTCCCTTTTGTAGTTCAATTAGGAATATTATGTAATGAACCCTTTGCCTTGTAATAACGTGCCAGACACGTGTTGACAATTTCAAACCGAATTCGATAAATTTAAGTGTTATTAATTTCTGATATAATTTATGTATTACTTGTTTATTGTTAAACTGTAACTGTATAGGGTAAATGTAGATACGAAATATGTATAAAACTTGTTTCTTTTTCTACTAATTATTAACAACGAAGTTGTTTTATTAAGCACGGCTGAGAAGTAAATTATAAGGCAAGGGGTTAATGGTTGAAAATTAATGGATTGCTTCGATAGAAATTCTTCGTGAACTTTTCGATTATTACATAGATTTAATGTTGTAATCTGAATTCTGATTCAGCTATGAATAAGACTGTGCGCTTGTAGTTTGATAAACTTCGTAAGCGATTACTAAAGGGTTTATAACTGGAGATTCGGAGTTTGTCTTGGAATTTATTTTATACTATATGTATATATTGATTATTTTAAATTTGAAATTGAAATACTTTGAACAGTTCTAATTTTATTTTATTTTGTTTCATTTGAGATTTCCTTTTCGAGAAAGTCAAAACTAACCCTTTCATTATGGCTGAACTAGCTGGGGGTTTGTGTGAGAGTACGAGTAGCTGCGCAGTGCGAATTAATGATATTATTATAATGTATTTCATCGTTTCTACGTTAGTGTAGTAGAGTAAAGTAGCACTTAAACAAGTTATAATATTTTTATTTATTTCCATAGAAAGTATATTTGCAAGAATAGAGCTACTGTAATATATTTTTTTAAATATTTGGATATCTGTTTGCAAAACAATATATTTTCCAATGAAAACGATCTTGTGGAAGCTGTTTTAATAATCCGTTCATTTTAGGGAGTTCGTATTTTAGTACGAAATGAGATAAAGAAGGTTTAGATCGTATTGAGGAACATGTATAAATTATAACAGACTTTATTTCGTTTGTAACGTAATTACATACTAGCCATTATTAAAATATTATTCTGTTTTTATGTGTTTTAAACTCGTACCTTCAGGATCATGACCTGTGGGACTTGGACCTGCCGATGAAGACGATGGTGGTGCCAGTCCTGTCGTTTCTAATGTGCCACCCCCTCCACCACCCTCCCTCTTCCTCTGCTCCTCTTTCAAACGTTCGAATTTTCGCCACTTTGCCCTGCGATTTTGAAACCATACCTAAAAACATAGAGTGTTATCATTAATTAACGATAGGTGTAACAGAGTAAAGTTTACAAAAAATAGTTATATAAATTGTTATTAAGCTTCGTTCGATATATCCAGCCTTAAATCATGAGTCTGTATTAATACACAAAGTTTGCTGCAATATTCCTTCATATAAAATTTTGTTTTTGTCTACTACATCTATTCGACACAGCATTTCTAATATGTCTGACAATTGCTCAATATTTCTACTTGTTGCGTATTTCGAGTACTAATTTCTGTAGTATTCAAGAAAGATAAAATAAAGGACGTATTGCCATATAGAAACGAGAAGACATAGACAAATACTTATAATTTTTTCCCGTCATAATCAGTTGATAGAAAGTATTGTACTGAATGTTATTACAATAATAAATGAATAAAAGTTACTAATTCAATTTCAGAACATATTAAGCTTCTTATACGATGAGCCACTCATTATCCAGATCTACCAACTCCACGTTTCCAATCTTTTTAATTTTATCATTAAGAGACTTGATTGACCTTTAATCTTTTATATTTAGAATACATTTTCTTATTATCTGATTTACTAGCTGGAAATAACAAAAATTCTTTTGGCCATGCAAACAATGAAACAATAATAAATATTACTTCATGATCATACTAGTGTATTCATTTTATATGTTTATTAGATTAAAGCTGCACCCATTATAATAAAATATACTCTATATATTTATTTGGTTTTCAATTTAAAGACAAATTTCAAAAACCAATCTATACTGTTACATCACTTTTCTCTACTTTTTGTTCCGTGGAGTTAACCGATTTGGCCGATGAGTGACTCATATTACACGACAGATCCATAAAACACATTTTATTCCGGCTGTTACTAACGAACGAATAAAAAAGAAGCGTTAATTCATCGCACGAGGACAGTTTGTCCTAATCAGCTCGCGATGTCAGCGACGAAGATATAAGGGAGCCGTGGAGAAGACGACGTGCGAAGGAGAAGAAAAAAAAAGGTAACCGAGTGTAAGATGGGGAACGTTGCGCTGAAGGCGGCACTTAAGCTGTTTTAACTACACCTGCTTCTCGTGCGCGGATATGGTAGGATAATTGCGTGTAGGGGGTGGCATTCATAGCTGGTCAGAGGGGCGGCCTCTTGCAGACGTACATGTTCAACGAGCCGACAGCAACCGCGGCGGCCGAGTGTTCCTTAAAAAGCTCGAGTTCTGCTAACGAGGCTAACTTGACATAATACCAACTGAAATAGACTTTATTATACCTAGCAGCCCGGTGTGTCTACGCAAGAATCTTCAGCCTGACGACCTAACGCACTGCCGCTTTCCCTGCTTACATGGGGATGATTCTTGCTTTGGTCTAACTCTAATCTTTAAGAGGCCGAGATGTTTTTGCTTGCATATTTTAGGTGTTGATCTTGTAGCACGTTTTCTTTGGTCAACTGGCTGAGAATTACGGATTGAAAAGATACTGAATGTATATACAGGGTAGTCCAAGGAGCTTGATCAGCTTAGATTATTCTGCTACTAGCGGTTCGATAAGAAATTTTGTTAGCTAAAATATCATACTTCGAGGAGAGCTTTAAGATGATTTTACCAAATTTTTTCTCAACCCTTTTTTTCCAGAATTATCAAGGTCACCTTCAGTTTTTTAGAGGTAAACCTACAATGTTTTTTACAGTTATCTTTCGGCGGATACTGAGACGAGTTCGATAAGCATCGTAATAAATATTTTTTTTCTGAATTTGAAAAAACTGAAGAAAACTATTAGTTGGAAGAGTTTTGCAAGATATTTAAAGATTATTAAAAAGACATACCAAGCCACACTGTTGTACACTTTCTAGAGCTGTTGATAGATTGGTATTAGTCATTATTGACTTGATTCCTCGCGTGTTGCAAACATTTCGTTCTGTACGTCGGGACACAGTTAATGTTATCGAACGTGAAGTGTTAGTAAGGTTTCGTGATCTGCGCGTACTGTTTATCATATTCTAAATGAAATGATTAATTAGATTGTTTCATATTCAGTAAGAGACTTACGATAAATTATTACAAAAATTCGAAGTTTTCTTTTCAAATCTTGCCGTTTGTTTACATGTCAATACCCTTCCTCAATTTCAAGCTGGTAAAATTCCATTTTCCATCGTGTTAAAGTATTTAAGAATTTCCATTCCACCTCAGGAATCCTAACATATTCCATTACGTTTATGAATCGAAACATAAGTAAATAAATTATGGGAATGACTTTTAACAGAATCAACAATACCAATACAGATTTTACAATTTTACGTAGACTTTGTCCATTTTCTTAATAAATAATCTATTTAAAAAGAGAAACTTAAAAGTTTCTCTTTAATTCTGTCGAGTTAAACGAATCAAACCGAGAAATCTAGAATCACTTAATCAAAGGCAGAAGCGGGTTCGTTAACGGATTGAAATCGATAATAAAATGAACGTAGCTGCACGAAATCGATTACTGGAGCGCAAACAAATTCTCCCGCGGAGGGTAAAACGCGTTACGGAACAAGTCGCAGGAATGATTATCTTCCAACGAGCAGGAGGAAAAGTTTCACTGCGGGAAGCTTGGAAAATGGTTTAATAAAATAAATACGATGAGCTTCGCGGTGGCTCCGAATTCGAGCTCCGGAGAAAAGGAGGGCGGAGGTTGACGAGGAGAGATATAATAATATTCTCGGGGCTGCGGGGGCGAGTAATAGCTGAGAACAAAGCCGCGGCTCCATCGGGACCGTTGTTCCTTCTCCTCCCTTCGTTTCCTTCGTGTCCTCTCCCCTCTTCCCCTTCGTCTCTCGCCATTTTTTCCTCTGCCCAATTCGAATTTAATCCGAAAGACGACGGTAATGGCGCTACCCACCCTCTTCAAATGAGATAAATGCATTTAATCTCTCGACACTTGTTACGTAAATCTATGATGGATGCTGAATACTCAGTGGTAGCTGTCTCTGTTTTCTTTTTTTATATTTCCAGGGTTAATAAAATTGCACAGGAATTTTCAGTGAGGGTGGAAAGAACGAGGATAGCGAAAAATATGGGATTATGTAGCTTGTATTTTTAAAAAGAAGGGAGGATTTACCTCGTAAATGTTTTTACGAATATTGGCTTGACAGTCGATGCATTAAATAATTCAACTAAGTGTGGGGATTGTGAATGGGAATGGATGCAAATTATAATTATGTAAAGTGTGATTGTAAAATGTGAGTGATTGTAATGGGAGATATAAAATAAGAATTGAGGGGTGAGTAAACGTTTTTGAATAAGTGGAAAATATGTGATGAAAGAGTTCGCTGCGAAAAATGGATATTAAATAAAACTACTTGAAATTCATATTTTATGGTTTATAAGTTTGTCAATTGTGATCAAGTAGGGGAAAGTGGGGCAGAATGGGGTATAGTGTATTTGTGAACAAGGTTAGATTGCTTCTTTGAACTTTAAAGAATAAGAAAATGACGATTCTCTTTGGAAAAAATTGTTTCGTTCATAAGAAAATAAAATTTACTGCAGGTCCGCAAAAAACCGGTTTTGCCTTATAGGGGTGGGTAAGACTGGGTATCTTATAAAAGATATATAAAATATAATGTAACCATAACATTTTTGTGTCCATATATTAAGAAATAACGAAAAAGTTATTTTCAACAATTTTAACAAATACGAAGCTATTTTAATTGAGTTCAACTTATAGAAATTTATATTAAGGACTTAGGAACTTTGGTTGTATTTATAAACAATTTTAACTATCTTAACTATAAATTATGTTAGTCTTAGTTACCAATTAAATAAAAATCGTCGTTTTTGTTGCTAAAATACTCAGTTTTGCTGTACGACGCAAAAATGAGAATCCGGTTTTGCCCTAAATATTAAATATTTCTACTTCAGTACATAATAGAAAAGTGAAAAAACGGAGAAATACCCTCTGAAAACTATAGAATGCAAATAGTATTTTTTTGAATGGATTCTTCAGTGCCAAGATATAAAAAAAAACCGTCACAAAACAACTACTTCACCTCTGGGATGCTGAAACTTTTCGGTTTGAAATTTTTAACTTCGTCTGCATGGAATAATAGGATGGCCTATGTTCTAGGATTCATTTTATAATGTCTTGAGAGTCACACAAATGTCGCAGAATGTTTTGGCTGTACTTTGCAGTTCTTATTTTATAAAAAAATAATGGTACTCGGTTTAACTGCAGGTTCAAAAATTATACAAACATTTCCATTTATTTCATAAAATTGTTTCTGTCGATTATAAAATAATAGAAATGAGATAAAAGTATTTTATATTTGGAAAATTATTGTGTATTTTTAGAAACCATATATATTAATTTTAAATAGTAGATTTACTTATTTGTTTGTGTGAATTCTTTTCTGAATGCGTTATCATCTTTACCAATTACATGCAAAACTCTTGACAAAGCCTCTTATCTCTTCATCATGTTTACGTTGAAAGAATTAAAAGGAATATTTTTTCGAGAAATTTTTTAAGCGCATTACGACGATACATAATCTAATGGCAAAGGGCATTGTTATTCTTCGCGTATGAGCGTTCTCACACCTTCGCATTCCCACCCTGTATCTCTTCTTCGACTTTCATTTTTTAATCTACCCTTTTCCCATTATACTTAATCCATCACATACACATAGCTCGATAATGGCGTTGTTATACTCCATCTCAAGGTAAATACTTAATCTTTTGACACTTGCTACGCAAATCTGCTTTTAATTAATAATGGATAAAGCTCCCCACAGTACAAGTCGCTCCGATGAAATTAATGTAACTTCGTTTTCAGGTATTGTTATCGGATAATAATGTGGATCTATCGTATATGAATATTATTCAATTTATTACTTACAACTGTATGTTGTATTTTACTTTTTCGTATAATATAAATCTAAGGACAACACTTTATATGCATTTCTTTTGAATTAACACCTTTACAATTGACTAACTAAATTTTTCAAAATTCTTTTATAAATTCTTTGATTATCAAAGAATGCGGTGAATAAGAAGTATAATCATTGAAAGCATTGACCATTAATTTCGCTCATCCGAAAGTTCGGTCATTGTAAACTTCGGTCTTGGAGAATTTGCATTCGTGAGAGACTCTATCATTTGAAAATTCGGTTATTGAAAACATTGGTTATCAAACTTCTGTTACCTCAAACTTAGATCATCCCAAAACTTGGCTATTCCAAATCTTGGTAATTTTAAATATAAGTCATCTCAAGTCTCAGTCATTCCAAATGTTTACAATCTCAAACTTCTATACTCTCAAACCCTGATCATCTGAAACTTCTATACTCTCCAACTCCAGTCATTCCAAACTTCCGACCTCTCAAACGTTATTCGCCCCAAACCTCGTCCACCTTAAACCTCATTCACCCCAAACCTCGACCACTTCAAACCTCACTCATTCGGGACTCCGCTCATCCCAAATCAACATAAGGAGACATCCTCATCCCTCAGAGCTAGGTACGTATGTACCCACTCGTTGCTCCATAATTCGCATAACACACTTTGAAATTCAAACGGGAGCATCCGAGCACGCGACTACCGCGTCCACCGGCGGTGTCAGACATCAACGTCGGCGTCGGCGTCAGTGTCGGTCCCCGCGACACGCGCATGTCCGCCCGTGCATAGTTTCCGCCGGTGTGCGGCAATTACGCCGCACACCGCGCAGAGAGGCGGCCGGAACAAATGTCAGCCGTGCGCGCTAGTCAGCGGCAAGAGAGGACCTGCCTCGACGATCCGCCTGGCGATGGTCCACCCCCGCGCTTCTCCCCTCTCCGCCCGGCAACCCCCGTTCACCCCGCACGAGGCTCTAATTGGAGTAGGAGAAGAGGACCGGGGCACTGCATAAACGCGCCTATTTGTCCATTATTTCAGATTCCCTTTGTCTTCCCTAATGAAACAATGAGTCTGCGCCGTAATTGCGTCATAGCCGTCCCTGTCCCTACCTTCCTCCTCCTACCATTGTGTACACCGGTGCCTAGCATGGCCTTCTCGTCTTATAATCCGGACAATGCAGCGGGATAATACACCGTGTACCCCCCTCCGACTGGACGCGACGCTGAAGGATTCTTCGCCAGACCGTTTTTCCATTGTTCCCCCTTTCTTTTCGCTTTCTCGCGTTTCCGTTGCCCCATTTGCCGAGCCCTTTGCGAGTTTATCCGAGTGATTTGATCGTTTGTTTTACCGAGCTTGTTGCGTTAGCTACTTAACAAGATGGATTTTTCAAAAATTTTCCATTATTATTTTAGTTGTTCGTGAGTTTGAAGTTGGTCTTTTTAAACTTTTTCGGTCGAATGTCACTGTAATGACGTCTTCGGGCTATCGTGTAGAATCGATAGCTGCGAATGAATAATTTAATTATTCAAATAACGTGTGACTGATACGTGGTTTCTTTCTGATATTTATTTATGGATTAAAATTATCTAATAATTTTTTATGGAAAGACTTTTTGAAGGTTTGAGAAATTCTCGTTTGTAAAGGGTTAACTTATTCTTATTTGATTGTGGAGAGAAAGTTGATACCATTTGATATTTTAAAAAAGAACGTTTTCATGCGTGAATACAAAACAAAATTTGTACTTATTTTAATTGAGATTTACTTGTGTAGTTGAACATTGTTCTTTGTAGAAGAGCAGAAGCAGTAAAGGATTGAAATAGTCTCAGAGTTTAAAAGGTCAACAATGCTGGTTTCCTCTTTACATTATTTTAGTATTTATACTGTGGAGAAGATACCCTGAATACGATTTTATGGAATACTTAAAATTGCAGAAATTGTAGGGGTTTCTTAGGCATTATTCGTTTTTAGCTTATAGTCTAGTACGTTAGTAACTAATCATTTCGTGCTATAATTAAAGTATTACATGCAGATTTCCAGAAGGGATTATATAAATATTAAGTTTTATAGATATTTTCAACTGCATTGATTAGTGTTCAGTGCAGTGTGTTAATTACAAGAATAAATTAATAAATAGCAAAATTTAATTTTTTAAATTTACATTTCTGTTTTGAAAATTCTTCACTTGGGCTACTGAGTTTCATTTCTATTTGGAATTCAGTTGCAATTAAAAATTGAATAGAAAGAAGAGCATTTTTAGATCTATTTTATGAGAAACAAGGTTCAACTTATGGCCGATATAGATATAGTTATAATAATATTAACAGACATTGATGTAGTTTGTTTTCAAAGTTCTTCTATAAACTCATTAATTTGGCGTTTTGAAACTTCCCAATTAATATTAATTGCTATTCCAGTGATCGTTTAATCAACGAGGCGAAATATGAAAACGTATAATCCTTCAGAATTATTCCTCCTTTATCGTTGCGCGATGCCCTCTCACCAAATTGCGATCTCCAGTTTGTTATTTATTAATCCCTCATCAGATTAAATTCGGCAGTTAAAGTCTATCATCTTTGTTCCCTATTATCCCGTGAATCCCCTATAGAATAAAAATTGATTGGTAATAAATATTTTTTTCAGCACACTTTTTATATTCTTCCTCTAAATTTATGAACATAAATACGATTACATAAACATGATAAAAAACTGTAATTACTCTATAATATAACTATATAAAATAAACTATAAAACTCTAAATAACATAAATACAGTTGTTAGAAATATTTAAGATAAAATTTATAAAACAATTCGTAAACCATTTTGCCAAAGTCAACTGAAGAAAAAGTTAATTCAGTAATTATTATAAACAAAAGTGTAATGCAACGGCTTTATCAAATAAACTGAATCAACAAATTTATTAATTTCTTTTAAATCGGTAGTTCCCTCTTATTACACAGTCGTAAAGTTACAAATAATAGAAAATATAATAATTATTTTCAAAATTGTTTATTCTATATTTATATAATTATTTTCAAATGTATATTTAAAAAATTCCTCCAGTTCATTAACCCCTTGCCCTATAACACCGTGTCAGACTCATGATGAAAATTTTCAATTGAATCTGATAAATCTAAATGTTATTTACTTGTCTTGAATATAAATTAAACATTTCTTTTCTATTATCAATGATTGGTCTCTGGTGAAACATAGACATAGACTAAGCATCAAATTCTCTTCTTTTTCGAAGAAATTATTAATGATAAAGTATCGTTATCAAATATAATTGTGAAAGAAATCACAGGGCATGCGGTTATGGTTAATAATAATCAACTTTCGAAATTCTACTGTCCGTTTACAAATTATAGATAGATAAATAGGTCATTAAGGATGATCCTGTTTATCAGCGAAAAATGATCCTGGACATGATTCTGTCCGTATTTGTTTTCACAAAGGGATGAGAATTAAAAATCTGACATCGGCGATCGGATATCCTGCAGATGTTTCAACAGGATTTCAGAAGGGAATCGCTATTACTGCAGGGATTCTCTGCAGCACGAATTACGCCGGTGCGAGTAAATATGGCTGGGAGGACGTAGCCAAGAGTACAAAGTAATCCCGGAGATTACCGGCTTATTCTGTCAGAAGATTATGTCAGGTCGAGGGTGTCAGCAGCTTCCTCGGGCATTGGCTGCACCCCAAAACTACTCTCTGCCTCGTGCTCTCGCACTTATGACGACGATCCACCGACCTGTATCAACCGGATTGACCGCCGAAATCATTTGTTTTCCCCTGGCTTAATGAAATAATGTTTAAATTGACAAATTTTAATTGTTTAATTTACTTTTCGTCATTTTCATTAAATTCTTTATAACTTCTTGTGAAATGTTTGTGAAATTGTTTTTAGTTATTTTATGCTTTCTGAATTTGTGTGTGATTTCAATATGACAAAATTATTTTTTACATATCTAATAAAATAATGTTTAAATTGACAGATTTCTATCTTTTAGTTAATTTCTTTTCATAGTTTTTCTGTTTTGTAGATTTTGTTTAGAATATTATTTTATATTTTAATGTATACACTTATAAAAAGATATAATTCAATAATTCCTTTAAAATCATTGATTTAGTTTACGAAATCTAAGTTTAAATTAAAACTTTTAAAGGTTGAGAGGTTCACAATTAGGTTACAGAAATTGCACACAAGTTCAACTTTCAAATGATTAAGCAATAACTTGATTTTTTTTATTCGAACGTTATGTTTTTGAATGCAGAAATATTAATAATATACATACTGTACAAAACAGACTCCAAACATTGAAGGTATTAATTACGGTTTTGTCGGAATAACGTGAAAATTTTGTGTCCCATTTTTTTAACTATGGCGTAGCAGGCCAAAAATTCTGAAAAAATTGAGAATAACTACCACACGTTACTACTGTAAAAATGAAAGAGCTATCGCTCAAAAGCTTTAGTACAAAATTCACATTTTTCAATACTTTGGGGTTGTTTTCATTTTCCACGCTAAGCATTTGCAACGAAAGAATCTCCAAAAATTCTCTGGCATGCATAGCTATGCCAGAAATATTTCAGAATGTTTTTAGAAAATTTAGGTACCATTAAATGGGAAAAACAAGACAAAAACTAATAATTCAAATTTACCCTGTAACTACCCTTGTAATTAAGATGGAGGGTTGTAAATTGGTGTACACTGCTTTTTATGCATAATCTACCGAAGGAAACGTTTACGAGTAAAATTGGGCTAAGAGCACTTTTGCCACCCCTTATTCTATTACACTCTTTAAAATCAATTAAATTTTTCTTTTTCACCAAAACGATCTTTTATCTTCGAATAATTTACTGTAATTATCGGCCATTATTTGTTTCCACGGTGTGCAGCGAAAATTCTAATTAAACATTCATTCACTCAATTAACCAATTTATGCTCGAGTCAGTGCGAGCTACTCAAGTCTATCTTCGGTGTCACGTTTCGGGTCTCATATTTATTTACGCTGGAACACTAACCTGAACTCTGGCCTCCGTGAGGTGAATCTTCATCGCCAGCTCTTCCCTCGTGAAGACATCCGGATAGTGTGTCTGCGTAAACGCCGCCTCCAGTTCGTCGAGTTGTTGTTGACTGAACGTGGTTCTGTTTCTCCTCTGCTTTCGCCTCCCGAAGGAATCTTCGCCGACACCGTGCAAAGCTGGATGGTACGGAGAATAACTTGTGTCTAAAACAAGATTGTATACTCCAGTTGGAACACCTTTCACAAATGACTAGGACTTTTGAATGGTCCAAGTACATCGTGAACTTAAGTATTCTAATCGATAGTCAGTTATACAATTAGCCTAATGTGCTGATTCTTGTTTGTAGTTGTATTAACGTTGCGAGTTACGTGGATTTTTAACCCTTTGTCGTATAATATTGAGTAAGTAGTGCTTTTTGTTTAAGAATATTTAACTTTCGGTATAAATCTGTAACTAATTTACGTATAGAAGATAATGTAACGTGAAACTTGTGAATTTTAATCATGGGATATGAATGAATAATTCATCTGAAATTCAGAAACACTTTATTACAAAACGAAAATAATCTATAGCTTGGAGATTAGAAATTATCGGCGAAGAAATTTTCGTAAGAAATTAAGTCAAGTACAAATTTATGAATGTTTCATTTTCAAGTTTCAATGCTCGAAACGATAGAGAAGAAACTTACTAATTATATTCAAAATAATAAAGATATTTAAAGGAGAAATCGATTAGGTTCAAATATAAATCTGTGAATGTACCTTCTTCCAATTTCAATATACGAAACACAAAAAAATTTAAAGAAGAAATCGATTATGTTCAAATATAAATTGGCAAATGATTCGTTTTCAGGTTTCAATACATCAAACATATTACACGGATGATTAAAAGTCGGAACGCGGTTAATTTAAATTTAAACAAAAACGGCCGTGTCGTCTCACGGTTGATCGAAGCGCGCGCAGACAAAAGGATCAAGGGGGAT